TGAGTCATTCTGCAGGCCCCAATAATTTGTATTTCATAATTATTACCTCTCTTTTGTTGATGGGCAAATCAAGACAGGAATAATAACGCATTTACAAAAGTAGAAGAAAGGGCCCAGCGTGGTGGCCTACCAGCTAAAGTCCTCATCCTGCATGCATCTGGAACCATATGGGTGCCAGTTCTAATCCTAGCAGCTCTACTTCCCATCCAGCTCCCTGCTTGTGGCTTCGGAAAGCAGCTGAGGACGGCCCAAAGCCCTGGGACCCTGCACACACACGGGAGACCTGGAAGAGGCTCTGGGCTCCAGGCTTCGGATTGGCACAGCTCCAGCCGGCACCTGGGGAGTAAATCATCAGACGAAAGATCCTCTGTCTCTGCTCCTCTCTGTATATCTGACTTTGCAATAAAAATAAAATAATAAAAAAAGAGTGTATCTTAGTTAAAAAAAAAAGAGTATCTCATCTCACTTGTAGGCCTGTCAAACATAAGTGATATATTAAGCAAAATTGCCCAGGTAGTGCGTGGTTAGTGTGAGAAGGCTTCAGTAAAAAACTATTGAAAAGGGGATATAAGTAGCCAAGGCTCTAGACCCATCCTTATTTTAAAAAGTCACCCTTGGGCCCAGCGCGGTGGCGCAAGTGGTTAAGGTCCTCGCCTTGCACGCCCAGGATCCCATATGGGTGCCGGTTCTAATCCCGGCAGCCCCGCTTCCCATCCAGCTCCCTGCCTGTGGCCCAGGAAAGCAGTCGAGGACAGCCCAAAGCTTTGGGACCCTGCACCCGCGTGGGAGACCCAAAGGGTCTCCTGGCTTCGGACCGGCATAGCATCGGCCGTTGCGCTCACTTGGGGAGTGAATCATTGGACGGAAGATCTTCCTCTCTGTCTCTCCTCTCTCTGTATATCTGCCTTTCCAATAAAAAAAAAAATAATAATATTAATAAAAATAAATCTTTAAAAAAAAAAAGCCACCCTTTGTAGTGCTGGGAGTTAACCTGTCCTCTGTAATGATAGCATCCTGTATGAACGCTGGTTCAAGTCCTGACTACTTCAGTTCCAATGTAGGTCCCTGCTTATGTACCTTGGAAATCAGACAGTGGCCCAAATGCTTGCATTCCTGACACACATGTGAGAATACCGGATGGAGTTCCAGGTTCCTGACTTCCGTCCGTTCCACCCTAAACATTTTGGCCATTGTGGAATAAAACAGCAAGTGGAAGATTTCTCTATCTCTGCTTTGCAAATAAATAAATCTAAAAAAAAAAAAACCCCTCCACCCCACAGCCATCCCTAATAAATGCTTGTTCTAAAAATGTAGGATACAACAGCTTATTTTTAAAAAATAAGTAGCAAGAGGCTTAATTACAAAGTTTCCTTACGGATAACATTCAGTGTTTGGATGTCAAACACTAGTCTATCAGAATCTCCCTCCTGGGTTTGAAGGCAGGACAAAGATCCCAGGAGCACTTATTCCAGCAATATTAGCCTGACCTCTCGTATCTGCCACCCACAGGATGCTCTGTGGAATCACCACCTCAGTGTGACTGGAATCGCTGGTGGGACATCAGCTCCCTTAAATGTCAACGAGGTGTTGGACAAGGATGGTCTCTGGGGATGTGTGCTCCGTCGGGGTTATGTGGAATGAGATTCAAAGCTGTTACCAAGTATATTAACTGACTTTCAAGTGTTTCCAACTTGACATCCGATCCGCCAGGAGGAGAAAAATGAAGATGCTGGCCCTGGGCTTCCTAGGTTAAGGCTCAGCCGCGCCAAGAGCCTGCCAGCAGCCCAGCGGGCAGTGCTCCTGCCCTGGACATCGGGACAGCCGGGATCGCCCGATCGCTGCCCAACCCTCGTCCTGTCCCTTGAAGGCTCACCCCTCACACACGCACACACCCCGCACCCCGTCTCAGATCCCCCATCTGAGGAACGCGGAGCCGCACTCAGCCCTGTTGCTTCTCAAACTTGTGGGTGGGGGAAGTCTCCGAGCCCGCATCCCGTCCCCAAAGAAAGATCCCCCCCCAAGTCTTCTCCCTCAGGAAGCCTAAGCGTCCGCAGCCCCCGTCGGCGAATCCTGAAGGAGCCCCGTGTCTTCACTGTCCCGGGAGCCCGGCTCCTCACTCCTCCGCTTCTACCTCGCCGGAGCCCGTGTCTTCACGCCCCTGCCTCTCCTCTCCGGGTCTCCGAAGTGTGCGAGGGCTCCTCCTCACACGCCTGTCCCTTCTGTGCCCGCTCTCCCTCAGGGGCCGGGGAGCTCATAGCCTTCCCCGTCCGCAGCCCCGGAGCCTCCTCCGAGCGCGATCCCCTCAGCGCCCGTCCCGACCAGCCAGATGCCCTCGCAGCCCCGCGTCTTCCTCTATAACCTGCTTCTTCCAACAGTCACCCACTGTGCGTCTGCGTCCTGACTCCCTCCTCCCCGCTCTTCTGCCTCAACTGCCAGGGCCCAGGACTCACAGGCAGCAGCGTTCTAGCTCCCCATGATACGCGGAGACTGCCCCCGTGAAGCGTTCCTCTCAGCAGCCGGTCCGACTGCGCGGCCCTCCCCGAGTCCTTCCGGCACCGCTCCCCGCCTCCAACCCGGAAACGCGCGGCTCTTCCGGCCGGCGGGCGCGCGCTCTGCCGGCACAGGCGCAGGCGCAGAGTGCAGTCCGGCATGAGGCGGCGCGGCCCGGCTGCGTCTCTGTTCCGCCGGTGGTCGGCTTTGGGGATTTGTCATCTGCCCCTGGCGTTTCGAACCGTGCCCTAAGGCCTTCCTTCCCGACCGCGGCTTGTGTCGCTCGCTGGCGTCGCGGGTGACTTGCGCCCTCGGACGGCTTCGCGGTCGCCATGTTTGTTTCGTGCCTTTTGTGGTAGGGTCAGGAACGGGGTGTCGCCCGGGACTGCAACATCCTCTGTGTGTTCTTTTGGACTCCTGCAGGGGAGTTGGCAACACTGTAACCCGCAGAGATGCCGGTTGTGTCTGTGAGTTTTACACTTACCGTCTGCTAAGCACCCAGTGAAGCCCCTGACCACCCATTATGTCATTGAATCATCTAGAAGGAACCCTTGGGAGTTTAAGAAATTTCCTTGCTCATAAGGGCAGAGCCGTAAGTGGAACTCGGAATTCTCTTAAGCTTTCAAGAGTGCAGTTATGGGGAAAAAAAAAAAGATTAAAAAAAGTGCAGTAAGGAGAACCGCTGTGTCTTGGCAGTTTGCTGGATGTAAAGCTTGTAAGCAAGCCCTGCAGGTTCACAAGAACCCCACAAGCACACTCGTAGGGCTGTGGCAGGAAAAGCTGCCAAGATGGGCACAGCAGCCTGCCTTCTAGGTCTTCAGTCTTCGATTCCCATTAAGTTCCAAGTACACTGGCAGCTGAGCCACTGAGTTTAGTTTCAAGGTCTCATCATAGGGGGCGCTAGACTGTCTCCCCAACCTTACTCCGTGCTCTGCTGTAGTCATTGTTTTAGGGTCAGGCATACTACTTTTTGTGATTGAACTATCCGTCTTTTATTTATGTATTCATGTGTTTATTTTTTTGAACTATCCATCTTTTTTACACACCCAGTTTTTTTAAAGATTTATTTTTATTATTTTTTTATTGGAAAGGCAGATATACAGAGGAGAGACAGAGAGGAAGATCTTCCGTCTGATGATTCACTCCCTAAGTGAGCGCAACGGCGATGCTATGCCGATCCAAAGCCAGGAGACTCTTCCGGGTCTCCCACGCAGGACACACCCAGTTTTAAGGTAGGTTCACAAATGTTTACTGGGACGAGCGTTGTGGCTCAGCTGGTTAAGCGCACATCTTCAGCTCCAGCTATTAGCTCCAGCTACCCTACTTCTGAGGCAGCTTCCTGCTAACGCATCTGGGAAAGGGGCAGAGGATGGTTCTGTGCTCGGGTCCCTGTGCTTGCATGCAAGACTTGGATGAAATTCCTAGTTTGGCCTGGCCCAACGCCTGGCCATTGTGGAGTGAACCAGCAGATGAAAAATCTCTATGGGACCATGTGTGTAAAACTCTGCCTATCTTTTATAGAAAATGTTTGTTGAGGGACTGGTGCAGTTACATAGGAGGCTGATCCTCTGCCAACAAAGCCAGGATCCAAGTGTCTCTTCCGCGTTTTCCTCATGGGTGCAGTTTCCCTCTTGGTCCATCTGCTGCTGCCTTCCCAGGCCATAAGCAGGGTGCTGGATCAGAAGTGGAGTAGCCAGGAATCAAACCAGTGCCCCTGTGGAATGCCAGTGTCCAAGCAGAGGTTAGTCTACCACACTGTGGTGCTGAACCCTATTTAATTTTTATATATAGATTTATTTGATTGATTTGGAAGGCAGAGTTAGAGGGAGAGACAGAGATCTTCAGTCTGCTTCTTTACTCTCCAAATGGTCACAATGATCAGGGCTGGGCCAGGCTGAAGCGAGGAGTGTCCTCTGGGTTTCACATGGGGGTGCAGGGGCCCAGCCACTTAGGCCATCTTCTGCTGCTTTCCCAGGCACATTAGCAGGGAACTGGATTGGAACAGAGGAACCAGGGCTTGAACCAGCACCCATATGGGATGCTGGAATTGCAGGCGGTGGTTTAAGCTGTTATACCACAATGCCAGTCTGTGAAATGGTTTTAAGGATAATAGGACTGGTGTTGTGGCACATTGGATGATGCTGCAGGCTGGGACAGCCGCATTCCTTTATGAGTGCTTGCTGAAGTCCTCGCTGCACCACACTTTTTTTTTTTTTTTAATGCTCCAGTTCTAAACCAAATCTCTGCTAATACACCTGGGAAAGCATGGGAAGATGGCCCAAGTACTTGGGTCCCGATACACATGTGGGAGACCTGGATGGAGTTCCAGGCTCTTGGCTTTAGCCACTGAGGCCATTTGGAAGTGAACTAGTTGATGGAAGAGCTCTCTCTGACTCTCCCTCTATATATATATAACTGATTTTCAAACGAACACAATAAATCTTTAAAAAACAGCGATAACACTAGTGGAATCTAGGAGGCTCTTGGGACTGACAATGGACAGTCTCTGTTTCTGGAAAGCTCACAGGTTTATACTCTCCTGCTTTCTGCTGCAGCTTAAGAGCTTAGCATACATCTCCCTTCTCTTAACTTCTATGAGGGCGGTCCTGGCACGATAGCGTAACAGTTAGGGTCCTCGCCTTGGGCGCCCGGGATCCCATATGGGTGCCAGTTCTAATCCTGGCAGCTCCACTTCCCATCCAGCTCCCTGCTTGTGGCCTGGGAAAGCAGTCAAGGGCGGCCCCAAGCTTTGGGACCATGCACCCACATGGGAGACCCAGAGAGAGGTTCCTGGCTCCTAGCTTCGGATTGGCACAGCTCCAGCTGTTGTGGCCGCTTGGGGAGTGAATCATTGGACGGAAGATCCTCTCTGCAATCTGCCTTTCCAATAAAATAAATAAATCTTAAAAAATAAACAACCACCTCTAAGGGTAGGGGCCTCAGAATATTATTCAAATTTTAGGTTAAAGTGAAATGTCTTAACAGCCTTTATTTATTTATGGTTTTTTTTCTAACAAAGAAAGGTATGGTGGGAGTGGGCTTTCCTTAAGACCCCAAACATTGCACATCAGGGAACCCAGGGTTGGTATATGGTTTCAGCTGCTGATCCTAGCTTGTCACTACTACACATCGGTAAGTTTCCCTGCTCAAGGAGGCGAGTACCTGCCACCCAGTCAGAACCAGCATCAGGCCCAGGAGGTGGTATCTCAATCACTGTGTCAAGCACCTGCCCAAGAGGCTGGCACTGTGGCACAGTAGGCTAACCTTCCACTTGTGGCACTGGGATCCCATGAGGGCACTGGTTCATGTCCTGCATGCTCCGCTTCTGACTACAGCTCCCTAGTTATGCCTTGGAAAAGCAATGTAGGATGGCCAAAAGCCTTGGGAACTTTCATCCATGTAGCAGACCTGGAAGAGGCTCCTGGCTCTTGACTGCGTCAGCTCAACTTAAGCCACTGCATGAGTCAAACCGTGGTTGGAAGATCTCTGTCCTCTGCCTGTAACTGTATCTTTCCATTAATAATAAAATAAAACGGGACTGATGCAGTAGCACAGTAGCTAAATTCCTCGCCTTTCACATGCCAGGATCCATTTTGGGAGCTGGTTTTAATCCAGGCAGAGCTTCTTCCCACCCAGCTCTGTGCTTGTGGCCTGGGAAGGCAGTCAAGGATGGCCCAAAGCCTTGGAACCCTGCACATGAGTGTGGGAGACCCAGAAGAAGCTCCTGGCTCCTGGGTTTGAATTGGCTCAGCTCTGATCAGAAGGGCCACTTGGGGAGTGACTCAATAGACAGATCGTCTTCAGACTCTCCTCCTCTGTGTGTATCTGACTTTCCAATAAAATAAGTAAATAAATCTTAAAAAAAGATCTTTAAAACCAGAAACCTGCTCTGAGAAAATTAACTTTTTCTAAAAAAGATTTATTTATTTTATTACAAAGTCAGATATACAGAGAGGAGAAAAGACAGAGAGGAAGATCTTCCATCCGATGATTCACTCCCCAAGTGAACACAAAGGCTGGTGCTGTGCCAATCTGAAGCCAGGAACCAGGAACCTCCCCCGGGTCTCCCACGCGGGTGCAGGATCCCAAGGCTTTGGCCCATTCTCGAGTGCTTTCTCAGGCCACAAGCAGGAAGTTGGATGGGAAATGGAGCTGCTGGGATTAGAACCGGTGCCCATATGGGATCCCTGAGAGTTCAAGGTGGGGACTTTAGCTGCTAGGCCACGCCACCAGGCCCTGGAAAATTAACTTTTAAAATGCATTGCTTGGGCCCGGCGCAGTGGCACAGTGGCGCAGTGGTTAAGGACTCGCCTTGCACGCCCGGGATCCCATATGGCCGCCGGTTCTAATCCCGGCAGCCCCGCTTCCCATCCAGCTCCCTGCTCATGGCCTGGGAAAGCAGTCGAGGACGGCCCAAAGCTTTGGGACCCTGCACCCGCGTGGGAGACCCGGAAGAGGCTCCTGGCTTCGGATCGGCATAGTATCGGCCGTTGCGCTCACTTAGGGAGTGAATCATTGGACAGAAGATCTTCCTCTCTCTCTTCTCTCTGTGTATATCTGCCTTTCCAATAAAAAAATAATGAAAATAAATCTTTAAAAAAAATAATAATAAAATGCATGGCTAGCTTACTTAGGGGTGAGTAGACCCAGGGGGGAGGTCTCTGGGACTGGGCAGGTCCAGGACCCACCCGCTGCCTTCATTGGGTGGTGAATGGGATTTGGGAGGGGCGCGACCTTGGGCCTGGGAATTTAAACCTCCAGCAGCCTCCAGGCAGCTGGTGGGTCTCAGGACGGGGCGTATCATGCCTGGATCCCAGATAGCCGCCATGTGCACGTGTTGAGCTGTCCCCGGGAGACCAGTGCGACATTTGGTGCCAGGCTCTGCCTGCTGGCCGGGGGAGCTCTGGGGATTTGGGTCTTTTTTTTTTTTTAAAGATTTATTTTTATTATTTTTTATTGGAAAGGTGGATATACAGAGAGGAGATACAGAGAGGATGATCTTCCATCCGATGATTCACTCCCCAAGTGAGCCGCAACGGCCAATGCTATGCCGATCTGAAGCCAGGAGCCTCTTCCGGGTTTCCCATGCAGGTGCAGGGTCCCAAAGCTTTGGGCCGTCC